TGATGTGGGCTCCATTAATGAGGAATCTAAGAATTGAGGACAGATAGATTAGAAGAAGAGGCAGGAGAAGGAAGGTAGGAAGTAATAAGAGTTGAGAACATGAATATCACTTGACACTTCTTCAGCTCCAGCAATAGAAATGGGAACAGGAGTTTCGATCCTCACCATTGTAGGGCTAAAGCCCAGTTTTATGAGCTCGGAATGGTCAGTCATAATGGAATACCTCTCTGATTTCCAATCCTTAAAGGTGAGCAGAACTCTCCTATCCTCAGCTCCTAGCTCAGGACGAATACCTGGCACAACCAAAGAATCAAACTCAGCATCCAACATTAAAAAGAGTAAGGAAGGGCTTTTTTCAGAATTTCAATCTTACCCAGGTTGTCTAGACCCGCCTAGGAGCACAAAATAGGAAGGGAGTCAGTGGCGTCGTTGGGATTAAATTCCCATGCCTTCCCAGACACAAAGAATAATTGTTTCTTCTAGTTCTTATGAGAGCTGGGCAGGTCAGTGATTAAGGTTGGGGTTTTCACCCGCTTGAAAATGTGTAAAAAATCGCCTGGATTGAACTTGACATTGAAAAATTTCATGAGCAGTGGGATAGAAGGGGTGCCAAGTTTATTTTTCTTGAAAAAGACCAGAAGACCCACTAGGACCCCCCAAAAGTTAGGAGAGATTTGAGTAGGACAGACGTTAAAATTCTGGAGGATAGACTTGATGAAAGGAGCTGAGGATAGACCTAAGCCCGTTCTCGGAAGAAACTACGAAAAAATAGGTCATCTTTGGGACCACGGAGTCATATCGAGTAAACTCATTTGGCACCAGAATTCTACATCCTAGGGAAAACCAAAGTGAGTAGCTAAGACCTTTATCTGAGGAGGAGAGACTTCATCGGCACCAATGAGCTCTGCAACTCTGGATACAACCCCTACGCCCTCAGCGTAGCCTGAGACCCCTACACCATTCACCTTGGCCTTACCTTTGTTAGGGTTTTTAGGCATTAAGGAAGATGAAGAAGTGAGCTCCTTGACATTTGTCTCAATATCAACAGAATCGACACCAAGAAAGCTATCAATCTCTTCTCCTACATCACCCAAATCAGAATCCTTTGTTTCAGGAAACCTGTTCCCCATGGGGGAAATAGATGAGCCTGTGGCTTTGGAGGAAGCAAACATAGCTGGGCAAGAATAAGAGAGTCGAAAAGACCTATAAAGGGGAGGAATCTCTAAAAAATACTTCTTGAGGGTCAAGGGGTCAACACAACAACTCCCAATTGGGAAATTTCTAGTCGTAGAGTAAGGATCAAGAAAGAGAGAAAGACGAGACAAAGAGTAACCCCGATTCCCAAAATAGCAGAATCGAAAAGTCCAGAAATACAACAACCACCTCAGATTTGAGGGATCCAGAACAAAGGGACAAACGAGGGCTGAGAAGCGTACCTAGTCAAAGAAGACATATCAAACCCCAGAGCAAAATCAGGAGGCGAGTCTAGTGGAGCCTTCGAGATTGAATCCGGAGGAGAGGAGGTTCAGTAAAACCCTAAGTTCACTAGTAAGCTGGGAAAGTAAATAGTGTAGAAAAACAGGAAATCAAAGGCCAAAGGAAGAAGGTGAACAAGAAGTTATGGCGGTTTTTGTTGCCGTGTGAGTATTTAAAGCTTGAAAGACATGTGACATAATGTGCGTGGGAAACGAGGAAAGGGATAATTGCTGAAAATTGTCCAAAGGCAACTTCCACGCGCGAATCAAGGTCGTCTTGGGAGGTTTTACTTTGACTCAACTCTAACTCAGCCCCTGGTCAATCCCACTTTGATCGTGGACTGGGGTAACTAATGATACCTAGAAGAAATCTCAAAAATGAGCTCGGGTATAGAGGTCAAATTAGGAGAGCGAGTCAGCAGTCTAGAGCTCCTATGGCCAGACCTTAGGCTCCCCTCAGATAAATCAAGATGAAAATCAAAGAGGAGACAGCTGGCGCTCCCAAGAAAGTAGGAGACTATAATCAAGGCAAAGGATTCTCAACCAACCAAGATTCTCTCTAGGAATCAAGGGAGATCCCGTGAATGGTAGAAATCTCCTTGTATATCCCTTAGTAATAGGAACATGGATATAAATATTGGCTAGAGAGAGGAACCTTAGTATTATCATAACTACTCTGTAAATCGCGACCGACAGGTATATATATTCAAGGAGCAAAAGACTCCTTTTGAGAGTGGATTAGCCAATCTTCCGAGCTCAGTGAACCACTATACGTCTGTCGTGCAAGTTACCCCAATTCCCCAATGATCTTTCCATAGTCATTACGAGCCTTGTAGCTCAAATTCAAACTTGGTTACGTGAAACATATTTTATGCTCATTTGCCTAATTACACCATCAATTATCATGTTTCTAGCCAATGCAGTACATGTGGTAGAAAACTACATAACATATCAAAATCATCAAAAGCAGTGTTAATTGGACACCAATCATGACTAATTGTTGGTGACAATGTTAGAAAACTACATAAGACCTAATTCCGGGAAGCTTGTGTCTTCAACCCAATCGTTTTTTAGCCAAAAAATGACGTCTGAGACACTTTTTTAAGTACTTTTCTATTTTCATCATGTTGTTTGAGGTAATTTTGTAATATTGCATATTTGCTTATTTTTCTGATAATTTAAGACCATTAGGATTTCTTATTTTTTATTGTGGTGAAAAGTTATTTAAGACCATTAGGATTGCTTATTTACCAGCTTTGATTTATTTTAAATAAAATTTAGAAAGAGGTTCTCTTTCAAAATTCCAATTATCTTGCTATTCTTAGGAACACTACAAGAAATACTAGATTCAACAAGGAAAATTTTCCAAGGACCGAAGTCCTACATTTCCGAATGGTTGGAGCCCTCCATAATGGAGGGGTATGTTAATGGTTCAAGGTCCTTTCCCTTTTTCCCGCCCTCTCTCTTGTAGTGTAAAAATATCATTACCTATCACCAAAAAAAAAAAAACTAGGAATATTTTCCTAGGTAAAAATTGAAACATTAGTCGGTAAAATACATCTCCTAGAAAAAAAATTTGTACCGAATACTAGGATTTGATTCCTACATGATGTATAGTTACTCTCATTCCACTCTATAAAAAAAAAGCAAAATATATCATTGTATGTGAAAAAACAACAATAAACACATACAAATATAGAGGAAATTCAAGACACATTTTGGCTCAAAGTAGAGATATTTTTCAACAACTGATTTGCATGACTTGGTCGCCTTGACTATTGAACACGTGCAGTCTAAATCAACAGTTTGGACTTATATTTGGCTTGAGCTTGAGCTTTTCAATTATGTCATAGTTGTGTGTTGCTTGAGGTTCTGGCACCCAAGGTTTCCAACTATAGTAGCCGCCTCTAGGCTACGAGGGAACGATACATATCGACTTGCTTTGCTTGCATTTAAGGCCAAGAACATTAATGATCCATTTCAGGTCTTCAACACATGGAATGCATCAATCCTCTACAGTGAATGACAAGGTGTTACATGTGGCCGGCGCCACGAAAAGGTCACAATGTTGGACCTATGATCCAAGAAATTGATTGGGTCCATAACCCCACAAATTGGGAATCTAAGTTTCTTGAGGGAACTATTTCTCCAAAACAAAAGTTTTGTTCATGGAATCCCCTCTAAACTTGGATGGTTGCCAAGGCTAAAAATTTTAGCCTTCCATAATAACTCGTTCAACTGCAAAATTCCTGCCAACTTATCTAGTTGCTCTAGTCTTATTTCCTTCAATATTGGTTACAACAGGCTGGCAGGGGCAGTTCCTACAGGGCTATGCTCGTTGTCAAAGCTCAAGGAACTTGTAATCAAACACAATGATCTAACCGGAAATATTCCTCATTCTTTCGCTAACTTAACATCTCTTAACTTGCTTTATTCAGCCTTAAATAATATTGGTGGAAGTATCCCCCATTCTCTTGGCCAAATAGCCAACCTGACAGTGGTTGCACTTGGCGTAAATTGGTTGTCTGGTGTCATCCCTCCCTCAATCTTCAATCTCTTTTCCTGGCAGTTCTTGACGTGGGGGAAAATAACATCCATGGTAGCCTTCCCTCAAATATAGGCATCACTCTTCCTAATCTTGGAATTTTTGGCATACGTGCTAACCAATTTACTGGGTTAATCCCTAATTCAATAGCTAATTCCTCGACCTAGAAGTTTTTCAAATAAGTGATAACAATTTTACTGGAAAAGTGCCTACCATGTGAAAATTGCATAAGCTTGGGGTTGTATTGTTTGACCATAACAGTCTTGGAAGTGGTGGACCTGATGACTTAGACGTTCTCTCTTCTCTAAAAAATGCCACTCGTTTAAGAAAGTTGACTATGAGCTTTAATAATTTTGGTGGCACAATTCCTAAATCCATCAGCAACTCGTCAACTAAGTTCCAAATACTCGATCTTGGACACAATTATATAGACGAAAGCATCTCAACTGGCATATGAAATCTCATTAACTTGAGTTATCTAAGCATGTTAGACAACCAACTCACAGGTAACATCCCGACAGACATTGGCAAACTTCAATTGGACGGTTTTATTCCGTTCTCTGCTGGGAATTAAAGCCTTCTAACTATACTCGATTTAAGTGAAAACAACTTTCAGGGCAATATCCCTTCAAGTCTAGGAAAAGGCCATATTTTATTACTACTGGAGTTATCTAATAACAATCTTAGTGGCACCATACCCCAACAAGTTATTTGACTCTCATCCTTATCGGTGTACCTAGACTTGGCTCGAAACCATTTGAGTGGTTTCTTTCCCTTGGATGTGGGAAATTTGAAAAATTTAGGTGGTTTGGATGTTTCTGACAACATATTATCAGATGAAATTCCTAGCACACATAGTTGTTATGTAATGCTGGAATTGCTCTTAATGCAAGGCAACTCCTTCCAAGGGTCTATGCCTTCAACTTTACGTTTCTCGAAAGGTATTCAAGTATTAGATCTTTCACACATTAATTTGCCAGGCAAGATTCCTAAATATCTAGTAGACTTCCAGCTGAAGATATTAAACCTATCCTCTAATGATTTTGATGGTGTGGTACCAATCAAAGGCATCTTCAAGAATGCAATTGCAACTTTGCTTATGGGAAATAGTAAGTTATATGGGGATACCCTTGAATTGAAATTTCCTAAATGCAACTCCAAAAAGTCGAAGAAAGTAGTAGGTTAACTTTTATGGTTAGATTACTAGTTCCTTTATCTTGTGGGCTTCTAGGAGTAATTTTGGCACTATCTTTATTGCTTCAGGAAGTCAAGAAGTCAAGAAGAGAGATATTTTTTAGTCAATTAGAGAATTCTCTTTTGAAAGTTTCTTATCAGAGTCTCCTTAAAGCTACCAAAGGGTTTTCTTTAGACAATTTAATGGGTGTAGGAAATTTTAGTTCTGTGTATAAAGGAGTTCCTGATCAGGATGAAACTTTTGTTGCGGTGAAGGTACTGAACCTTTCGCGCCAAGGGGCATTCAAGAGTTTGCTTGTTGAGTGTAAGGCCTTAAGGAACATTAGGAATCGGAATCTTGTTAAGGTAATCACTGCTTGTTCAGGTGTTGATTACCAAGGGAATGATTTTAAGACACTGGTTTATGAGTTCATGGCCAATGGGAACCTAGAAGAGTGGTTGTGGCCAATTTAAGGAGAATATGAGGTGAGCGAGGAGCCCAGAAAGTTAAGTCTTTTTCAAAGTTTAAATATTGCCATAGATGTTGCTTGCGCCCTAAACTATCTTCACCATCACGACCACACTCCAGTAATTCATTGTGATTTAAAGGCAAACAACATTCTTCTGAACAACGAAATGACCGTACATGTTGGTGACTTTGGGTTAGCACGATTTCTTCCAAATGTTGACTCGGTCAACTCTGCACATAGTTTTATGGGACTGAGAGGATCCATTGGTTATATTGCACTAGGTAAACATCTTCCTTCGTTGTTTAATCCATCTTCAAAACAAACAATCCTTGTCCCCTAGGTATGCTCCGCTTTTGTTTGATAATTCAAATAATTTATTGGCTAATCTTCAAGCAGTTACTGCTAATTATACTCCTACTTTGTCTTGATCTTTGTTGTATATCCTTTGCATTTTTGAATAACCTTTGGAAAGGACAAACAAAAAATTATATGCCCACTCTATTCATTGTCAATTGAATTTGAGTTGGATGTTTAATCAGATGTCTGAACTAGGATTTTGGATAAGCCTCTCTATTTCCATATCATTGATTTGGTAATTAGTTTTTTTCTTTGTGTTTGCCATAAGTGCACATTGTTAATATCAATGATTTAGACTAGTGGTTGTTTTGTCTATAACGATTTAAGTCTATTAGATGCCTTAATAACATAATGCTTCAATTAAAAATTAGCAATTATTGTGTTCACATAGGAAATAAATTGGAAAAATTGTAACACCATTTTTTCGGATGAACATTGGCCAAATGTGCCTCTAAGTGCTGGTAGTACAAGTTTTAAGATGCAATTTACTTCTTGAGCAAAAAGTAAACAGTTTAGTCTATCCAGATTTATAATATAGATTACTTGCATGTTAATGAATTATTGTTTGATATTCTTTCCATCTTATTTATTTTGACATTATGAAATTTAAATTTCATAGTATGGCATGGGGAGTGAGGCATCAACTCATGGGGATGTGTATAGCTATGACATCCTGTTATTGGAAATGTTTATAGGAAAGAGACCCACTAACAAGATGTTTGATGATAGTTTGAACCTTCATAATTATGTTAGTATGGCTTCGCAAAACAAGTACCAAATATTGTTGAACCAAGGCTTCTTCAGCACAAAGAAGTGGGGGAGACGAGCACAAATCCCCAACCTCAGTATAAGAGTCATGCTCATAGTTACAAAGTTCAAGAGTGCTTGATTTCTGTACTTGGAGTTGGACTTACGTGTTCAGAAGCAACTCCAAGTGAACGGTTGGACACCAGTGAAATTGTAGCCAAGTTGTTGATCATCAAAAACAAAATCATGGGAATTGAATGCACACGGGGAGGAAGTATGGGAATTCAAATATAATCATGGAGAGGTATTGGCTCAGCACTGTCTTACAAAACGTATAATGCATCTGCGAAAAAATGCAAGCATCCTTTTGTCACCTTAATTAACAAGGTTAAAACATAATGAGATAATAGTTATGACTCGGCGTTAAGACCTATGAGATAAAAGTTATGATTCAGTGCGGACTAATAATTTGGGATTTGCCCTAAAAAGGTTGAGTACCTAAATGGATTCAAATGAATTGTAACGTGCGAAGAGTGCGTTTATAGGATAGAAAAAAAACAGAGTGATTTAATTTGTTCTTGAGAACTTGAGTCTTGAATCTTGGTGTGAAAATGTTCTATGTGACATAGAAGGGCTATATTCTTTCAAACGCTATGACACCCAACAATCATAAGATAAAACCATTGTGGGTTAGTTTGGATGGCTAATGGCTCATCTCTTAACTGGGAGGTGTGGGTTCGAACCTTGAGGGGAGGTGTGTGAAAAGGTATTAGTCTTTGCCATGCTTAAGACTTGACTTCAATTCTACAAACCTCTCAAAATAGAGTTCGCATAAACTCTGCTTAGTTTCAAACCAATATAAATGTGGGTCGAAACCCTTTTTAATTGAAATATAGTAATGAGTTGTGATTGTATAGGTTTTTGATGTGGTAGCTACAATTTGTACATTTCCTCAGTTGATATGTATACATGAAATGTTTGTTATATACTGTGATTTATAAGATACTTTATTAATATGAGTTTAGACCTATAACTATTTTGACTATGTGTTTTATGCCTATGTTTCATGTGTATTGATGAGCATCTTATTAGCTTACACCCAATATATGTTGCATTTACTTGTCTCAGGTTAAAGGCGTGTCCACTACAAAGTGTTGTTCAAGAAAATAAGGTTGAATGAAATAGAATAAATATTGTGATATATGCATGAAGATCATGAAAGTTTATTGTAAAGTTGCATATCTCATTACTTTTTTGTTTAAAAAATAAAATGGGGGCATTTGTATCAGTCCTTGTTTATATTTCATTCATCTACAGTGGCATGATTGTCGGGATTAGTTGTAGCCCATCTTGGAAAAATAGGGTTGATCATTTTATAATGGGGTATATGACATTTAACCCCATGACCAACCATTTGGAATTTGGAGTCACGGTGATTACTGGTACCTAAATAGGATTATCAACAAAACAGATTCAAATCATTGTCCAGTCGATCCAAATCCAAATTTGGTTTAGTTAAAAAATTTGGTACAAAAATAGGATTATAAACAAAACAGATTTAGATCGTTCTTCAGTCGAACCTAATCCAAATTTTGTTTAATTTGCAACTTTGAATAAAAATTCGATTTAAATATACAACGTCTCTTATTTTTATAGTCCAAATTCAAATTGTTAAAAAATCTAATACTTCATCAAGTAATAACTATATTAGTTAATGCTAAATTTTAGAAAATTACTGAAAAATTTCAGCCCAACTTTACTAAACACTCACTTAATATTTAATGAGATCATTGTGTCTATGTATAATTTGGATCGAATTTTAGGGTACTCAAATCTGAATCCGTAAAATATAATATAAAGATTTATTCAAATTCATATTCAAATTCATATTACTATTCAAGAAATAAGTTTATTAGTGGCGAAAGTATTAGTGACCAAACTTATATCATCACTAAAACCTAATGTTTAGTGGCGAAGATAACTATTAGTTACTAACTCAAAAATATTTCGTGGCAATCTAAAAAAATTGTCACTAATTTCAAAAAATAGAGTGTTTCTAGTAATAACATTTGCTTTGTCACTAAAATTTGCCACTAAATTTGAGGCCGGAGATTTTTGGAGCCAAAAAAATGTAGGGAAGTACTGAAACGACAATTAATTTAATGTCGTCACTAAATAATCAATCAAACGATAGCTCTTTAGTCACGACTTGTCCACTCGTCACTATTTTAACGAAATTTAAGTTGTCGCTAATAATTTGGGGGAGGGATTTTTTTGGCGCCAAAATGTGTTGGAGGGAAGGATTTTTAGCGGCAATTATTTTAACATTGTCACTAAATAAGCAATCTAACCTCAATTATTAGTGATAACTTAGCCACTAGTCACTATTTGGTATGAACTAAGGTACTATTAGTGACAAATTCGACCTTGTCACTAATAATTTTATCATTAATTTTGAAGCGGGGATTTTTTGGTGCTAAAATGTGTTTAAGGGAAGCATTTTAGCGACAAGTTTTTAACGTAGTCACTAAATAAACAATCTGACACCAATTATTAGTGGCAATCTAACCACACGTCACTTTTTGCATAAATCAAGGAGGTACTGGTGACAACTATACCATCTTCATTAATAACTTTCTCACTAATTTTGAGCCGAAAAATTTTGGTGCCAAAATATGTTGGAGGGAATCATTTTAGCGACAACATTTTGTTAACATCGTCACTAAATAGTCAATCTAATTGTAACTATTCAGTGACCCCATAACCAATTATCACTTATTTTTATGAATTAGGAGGTATTAGTGACAAAACTTATATTTGTCACTTAAAACCATAGTTATTAAAACTGGGTCGCCCATCGAACTAACAAAGAAATTAGGTCAATGGTTTTCTGATTCAAACGTTGGATCAACTGGTCAAACATGCTATATAATAAAAAATAAAAAATATAATAATTTAGTGTATCGACTATGTGTGTATGTATTGATTATGTGTGTATTTGACTATTTGTGTGAATGTATCGACTGTGTGTGTGTGTGTGTGTGCATTTATTTGATTGTGTATGTGTATGACTGTGTGCATATAGTGACTGTGAAATCTATGAATTCTACAATCTAAGAGAGAGAGAGAGAGAGAGATGGGTAAAAGGGAGGTTGTGTGTGTGGGAAATCTAAAATGGGAGAAGAAGCTTCACATTGGAGATGTGGTGAAGATTGAAAATTTTAGCCCTCCATAATAACTCGTTCAATGGCAAAATTCCTGCCCACTTATCTAGTCTTATTTCCTTCAATATTGGTTACAAAAGGCTAGTAGGGGCAGTTCCTGAAGAGCTAGGCTCATGGTCACAGCTCAAAGAACTTATAATCCCACAAAATGATCTAACCGAAAATATTCCTCCTTCTTTTGCTAACTTAACATCTCTTAACTTGCTTTATGTAGCCTTAAATAATTTTGGTGGAAGTATCCCCCATTTTCTTGGCCAAATAGCCAACCTAATAGTGATTGCACTTGGCACAAATTGATTGTCTAGTGCCATCCCTCCATCAATCTTCAATCTCTCTTCTCTGGCAGGGGGAATATAACATCCATGGCAGCCTTCCCTCAAATATAGGCATCAATTTTCCTAATCTTGGAATTCTTGGCATAGGTGCTAACCAATTTACTAGATTAATCACTAATTCAATAGCCAATGCCTCAAACATGGAATTTTTTCAAATAAATGATAATAATTTTACTAGAAAAGTGCTTACCAGGGGAAAGTTACATAAGTTTGGGGTTGTATTGTTTGACTATAATAATATGGGAAGTGGTGGACTCGATGACTTACATGTTCTCTCTTCTCTAACAAATGCCACCTTTTTAAGAAAGTTGACTATGAGCTTTAATAAGTTTGGTGGCGCA